TTTACATGACTTCTTGTTAAAAAGTGGTTTCATGTGTGAACCAACGGAATGCTCAACTTTTATTATTTTTCCTGTCCATGCTTCACATGGACAATGACATTTAAAACACTTCTGAAAATGGACACATAAAAATGTGTTCCTATTGAGGACATGGGGCTTGACATTGACAATGGATAGGATTTCACCTCCAGTTTATGCCTCCTTGTGCTCTCTGAATTATTTATTAAGAGCATCTGTTATTTTCACTTACAAAGTAAAAAGAAGAATCAAACTAATTTATGTAAAAAAGTAAATGAAGACACTACTTTAACCAAGACAGGATTATATCTCAGTTATACTATGGAAGTCTAGATAGACTGATTTGTCTATTTATGGATTACTGAATGTGAATTATGTGAAGACCTTTTTGCTCTCTTGGGGAATGTATATGCAAATACTGTTGCATTTTTTATGCTTTTATAAAAAATGGGACTTGTTTATAAGGAGACAAGACAGATGCACATAAAGATTGTTCAATGCATGTCTATAGTAGCAAAGGGAAATTCTCAGTGTTCCCATCCTGTAGTCAGAGATTCAGGGCCTTCTTGGTAAAGAAGACTTCCCACGTGCCTGGTACTTCCTTCCCCTCGAATGCTAAGATTCCAAAAGTTACTTCTATATGAGTTCCACAATTTCACCTTTATCTCTTTGGCCAACCCAGCCATAATCTCTGCCCACTGGGCCCTTCAGCCTGCATGTCTCTATCCTGGGCTTTATTTGGTCACTATGTCTATTGTGTTGTTTGTTCCCCCACTACCACCTTCATAGCTTTCCCTCTGGGCCTTATTTTGATGTTAGAACCAAAGGTCTTCTTTCCTGTTTTAGATTTCTCCTTTTGCTCCTCTCCTCTCTTACTTCTGTACATTTGATATAAAGTTCATTACTGGTACATCACCAAATTACTTGTAACCAGGGAACTAACAGAAATAATTTTCATTGGGAGCATTACTTGATCACTTGATGCCATTCTGAGTGTTTCACATTTACTAATAAGCTGATAAAGTAGACCACAAGTTTTTTGTTAATTTTTTCCTCTCTAAAAGAAAGTGCAAATGCAGTTAACATGGAAAATGTATTCTGTATAAGGGATCAGAGTAATAAAAGGTTAATTTGATACTTAAAGGTTTTAAAAAGACCATAATGGAGAATTTTGATGCTAATTATTCATTTAAAGTGTATAGATTCAGGAGAGCTTTTCTTCCTTGGAATACACAGAATGGTTATATAATGCTGTTATGCTGAACAGCATAAACACATTAAAAATGGAACCCTCCTTTGCAGTTTTGTTGTTCATGTGAATACTGTCCAATTCTCTCCCCACTTAGCCATAAGCAAGACATTGAACTTGTCAGTGAGAAGGTAACTAAATCATTGTTAACAGTTGTATGAGTTTGTTAAGGATCCAGTCAAATCCTATTAAATGTAATAGCATTAATGGACATTTAGGAGAATTAAACTTTAAGGCATTGAAATTTATTTTGTAAAGGGGAAAATTTTACAGAGTATTTTCCTATTGAGTAAGTCCCTCTGAATCTGCCTTTGTAATGTTTATTAAACTTGAGTCAAGAGATGAAAAACAATCACACTCTTTGCCTTTACAATACCACTTATGGAAATCTATCCTAAGGAAGCTATCATATATGTGATAAGAAGCTGAGGAGTATGATGTTCATTGCAACCTCGTTATATAGGGAAGGAAGGGAATAATACCCATGCCTAATACTAGCTAAGTGGTTAAATATGCCATGTTCATAATGCAAAGTCTGTGTTACCATTAAAATCATGTGCATTTCTAAAAGCAAATGAAGTCCACAGGAATGGTTATGTAGTGCCATTTTAGCTAAGTTATCCAAAGCTTTTAAAATATACATATAAAGTAGACAATAGACTGCTCCATCAAAAAAAGCCAGGCATGGTGGCATATGCCTGTAATTCCAGCTACTTGGGAGGTAGAGTCAGGAGGATCTAGAGTTCATGGTCAGCCCAGGCAAAGACAGCAAGACAGTATCTTTAAAACAAATTACAATCAAAAAGGCTGGGGTGTGGCCCTACTGACAGAGAGCAACACACACATACACACACACACACACACACACACACACACACAAAACCATAAATATGAAAATATGATGGGGAAAGAAAGGGAAAGTTACCCCTATCCTCCCATCTTACTTTGATTTTTGCAAATATAAGAACAATAATTATCTTTTCCCAAGGTATCCAATACTTACTAAGCCAAAGCAGATAAATACAAGCTTCTTGACTTGCTGAATTTGATGGGAATATAGTTTCTCCTTCCAGAAATTGTGAAGCTTCAAATGGAAGTTATTATCAATATCAGCCTTTAAAAAATAGCAGGAAGAAAAAAGTCCACTTGACTACTTGCAGATTTACTCCTCAGAGGAGGAAGGAGACAAGTGCAGATGCAGACTCATGACTGCCCTGCTGAGCCATCACAGAGGTAGTCATGGGCCTTATAAGATGTTTATGGGATACAGAAATCAGAGGTGATGTCACTGACCACCACAGAGCCAAAGGCTTTCAAAGTCTCATGATTCATGGAATTCTGCTAAGACGAAAATATCATTGCCAGAAAGCAAGGGTTGGTGGAATATGAATGATTCAAAATTCAATTTTGGGAAGGACTCACTTTAATTTTCTATTTGAAATATTAACAAAGGTGCCATGAGAAATGTGTATGCAACCACATCCAGATGAATTAGAAGCCCTGGGTAGATTTTTAGGGACTTAACTAGGAGTCCACTTTTGTGTTACTATGAACTTCAAGTAATGCTTATTTTGTGACCCATGCAAATAACTTAAACTTTCTGTATCAAAATTTATTATCTCTAGTGGGCATAATAATACTCCTTTTTTCATAGGGCTACTGTGAGCAAGGAAAGAATTCAGCATAGCACCTGAAATTTATTAAAGATTCAATAAAGAAAAATTACAATGATCACTATGTTTATATTATTAATGCACATTTTATCTCAAAAACAATAAATGCTTTAAAATTAAGAGTACATTTTATTGAATTTTAGCTGTATTTGGAGGAAGCACAGCTACTTAAAGCTTACTCAGGCTTTAAAATATTACAAACCTGTCTAATAGCTATTTAATTATGGCAGAGTCTATTACTAAGAGAATGAGGTTGTATTGTAAAAAAGTTTGACTCTATTTGATGACTTTTGACTGGGGAGTAAAAGAGTAAAAGTTACTAGTTGAAGTCTCCCCCTCCACAACTCTTCCATTTTAATCACATGCAGGAATGCATGTGTGTGTGTGTGTGTGTGTGTGTGTGTGTGGTTGTACATTCAACCTACCAAGCTCCAACTCTGAATCACAAGTGATATGAGCCAAAAGTGAATGAGAAGTCCCTCATGAAAGTTGGGATGAGACTGTATTGATTTCTTAAGCACATTCGTAAGCCAAACTAGCTGTATTAATGCTTGTACTTTTGACTAAAAGAGCTGTATGGGGATTTTCAAAAATAAAATCATTGATTTAAATAAAGATGTTTGGACACCATCTACATATTTCTTCTCTTGCATGTCACTTTTGATGAGTTGGGAAGTATCTGTGCTTACTGTATTGCAAGGGAGATGGCCCAAAGCAGACAGTAAGGCTTCACAACCACCACCATGGAGTGGTTCTGTGGCTCCATATTCCAGTTCTTTCAAACTTCCTGCAAGATGCTGACTTCCTTTTCTCTCCATAATATGTTGAGACACGAGCATCTTATTAGCTGTACATAAGAATATGGATATTCAAAGTGAGCACTCAGAGTTTATGAATGTACATTTTTTATACTGATCATTTTGAATGAGGGAAACATGAGGCTACATTCCTTCATGTATTTGCCTCGTATTTGGCATGATGGAATCTGCACTTAACCTAGAATATCCCCAACAGTTCTCATTAATATTCAGTGGTTCTGGAAGGCTGGCCTATGACTCAGAAAAATAAGAATCTCTTTTTATGTTTGCAGAACTGATGAACAACCTAATAAATATAATAAAATAGGAATGAGAAAGTAATAAAAAAAACCTCAAAACATCAAAATAGCAGAAAGGATGCAAATGAGTGTAAAAGAAAATTCCAGAGTAAAAACACGTCACTGGGAGAGAAAAGTAAAGGACACTTACTAGAAGGCAGCAATTTTTGAGGGAAAATTTTCATCATGAAATGCATATAACTGCAGTGATTTGAACAAATAAATGTTAATGGTTGATAAGTTATATTAATTATGTATGACAGCCTAAAGATGTTAATGATTTAGTAAAAAACAGACATTTATTTTTAGTGTACCTGCCTAACCTATGAGTCTACCCCTGCATCTTCTTTCTTACTCACTTGTTTGCTTTTGAAACCACACAGCTCATAAATATGAGCTTTACCATTCTAATACGGCTTTCTCAGAGATGTAAAGGATTTTTGCTATTACTCCTCCTCTTTGAACCTAAAATACATAGCCAAGAAAGGTTGTTTGTATTCTGTTTAGAAAATGGGTATTTAATTAGTGCCACTTGTATAAACACACCATGTTTAATCTGATTGCATTTGTTACACTTCACCTCCAACTATACCTTTTCAACTAAATCACTCTTCCTCATCAGCTATCATTTATGTCTTATTATAGCATCAAGAGGAAATGAAATTGTCACACCCATTTAATTTTTGCCTCAGGGCTCACTCACAAGTTTAGTTACCATACCGATAGTGCTTATTTGTAATGTGGAACATTTTTGAAATGTTAACAGTAACAGCATGTTATAAGGTGACACAAGCACACTGTTAAAGTCTACTACATCATGAACATCTCAACCATGATTCCTAGAAGAACTGCTCTAAAACATGGCTTCACATTTTGATATTATATTGTTTCTCAAAGGTGTCTACTATCTAAGATTTTCCCCTCACCTTTTCTGTCTTTAATTTTTTCTAAATATTCCTGGCAGGTACTAAGCACAAAACCATGCTAGAAGCCCGGAATGGAAGTGGGACTATTAAAGCCTTTCCTCGAGCAGGAGTGAAAGGCAAAGGCCCCATTAATAAGGGAAACACAGGACTCCAAAACAAAACATTTCACTGCGAAATCTGTGATGTGCATGTCAACTCAGAAACACAACTGAAACAGGTAATCAATTGATATTCTAGGAATGAAAACAAATGGGCAATCTTCTGAGCAGGATGTGGATGTGTATGATTCCTTCTTTCCTCTTCTTCTTTCTGTTCCATCCATCCATCCATCCATCCATTCGTCCCACTTGTCTTCTAGTGACTGTCCCTATTTATTTATGATTATTTTAGTTGCTGAGGGAATACGAAAATGCAGTGGCTTTGAGAACCTTTTGGAAGTGTCAGCAGTGGGTTTATACTATTCTTGTATGTGCACCGTGGGAGGAGAAGGGGTTATCAGATCTTTTCTCCATCAGGTTTCCCCCTGAAAAGTGTTGATTTTCATTAAAGGTCAATGTGCAATGCTCCATTTTTACTTGTTTAGATATTTCTATACTGAAACTAATTTTGTACTGTTCTGTTCTTTTATTGTATGTACTTTATTATGTGGTATTGCACTGTATCTCTAAATCCTGCAGCCACCTGCCAAAAAAGGGTGACTAATCACATTATATTCATTTGTACTCTGAATAGCCTTCTAAAGACATCAGTTGTACATTTCCAGCTGAAAACCCAGGCTTTTCATTGTGTTGTGGTTTATATGTACATATACAATGTTTTGCTGATTTTATGCACCTTAGTTATTTATCTTTAGAATTTAAGAAGTTGACATTTGGCTGTATAAATGTGAGGATAAATATTGGTATGGAAATAAATTCACACCTGCCTGGGCATCTTTGTTTATTTACACATAAAATTCCTTCAGACATTCCTTTCTTTTGTGAACACTTTTCTAAAAATGGATATGTGTATGGTGACAAGGCAAAAAACTTGGAAAAGATGATTCTTCTATTTGTTAAAAATATATTAAAATCAGGCCCTTGAGGTATTCAGATCTAAAGGTAAGAGTACATTCTCCTTCATTTTTGTCTTTCTGAAACGTGCATGAAATCATTATCTTTCCTCAGATTAAAAGAATATCTGTGAAAGGCTTTTTAGATGAATTTTTTAAAGCTGTCATTTTTAATTGCTTTTAATAGCACATTAGCAGTAGAAGGCACAAAGACAGAGCTGCTGGGAAGCCTCCAAAACCTAAGTACAGCCCTTACAACAAACTACAGAAAGCAGCGCATCCACTGGGGGTGAGTGACATTTTTGCTTCCCCAAAGATTGTATGATTTCTTTAATGTCCCGCAGTCTCTGAGCATGAATCTGGGGGAGACTGTCAATTAGCAAATGGAGTAAATGTACCTAATAAGTTGACTTTAGAGTCTAACCTCTACTACATTAATGTAATCATTGGTCACATGACTTGTTGCAATGTATTGCCACCTTTGGCCACAGCCCAGTACCTTCTATTTGAGTTGAGTTTAGGTTTATCATTGGACACTTGGAAGGAAAAAAAGCCAGACTCTTTTGCATCACCAACTGAGTAACCCCATGAAATCTGGTCTTGCTGCTAGTGAACACTTTAGGAAATGAAGCCAGAGGAAAGCTCATTCTTTTTGTGTTCAAGACAAAGCTTGGCACTGTCAATACTCTCAATCATTTTGGATTTTTAAGCCATGTGCTCAAGGGTATGCCTTAGTTTCACTTAATTGTACATGCCTGGGCAAATACATCCTGGGAAATGCCTTTTTCCTATTTCTTCAAAATAACCTTTTTAGATGACAAAGCTTCCTAGTGTAATGTTCTGACTGGAACTGTGTGGAATGGCGTGCGTGACCTGTGAAACCTTCTGACATTGTAGGCTGTTATTGATGAACGTGTGCTCTATTTCTGGTTGAGGTGACCGCCACTTTCACCAGAGACCCGGGTCCCAGTGAAAACCTAAGACCCTGACCTATCAGATGTGCTTAATTGTGCATTTTGAAATCTGTCTTCTTCAAATAGATTTTATTAATAATGGTTGCTATTGTGTACAGTATACAGCATATAAACAAAGTTATAGGAAAACTGCAGTCATCTATTATGAGACCACCCTATGGGTTGACCCAATTAATTTTGTAGGATTCTCCAACTTTATACAAATGAAGACACTTTCCTTTTTTGTATAGAAACACATTTAGCTGCATTGGGAGACTAAATTCTGCCCAGAGTTGGTATTTCAGCAACACTAGTCATAACCTTGAGTGCTGTCTCAGCCAACATAGATGCTGTTTTGACAAGCAAGTAAATGGCTCTTAAACAGAGAGCAGTCAAAATTGTGTTACTGTTAGAATCTAAACCCTCCTTCTTAACTGCTTGTCACTGTGCTACTTTTTCCATGCCTGAGAACATTCTCTCTAGAGAGACCTGATGTTACTACTGAGAGAATATTACTGTTGTAGAAAAGGAGTGAGAGAACCTGGTGACCACTAGCACAAAGAAAGAGGGTAACTTGTCAAAATTTGGGTAAGATAAGTGTTCTTTACTTTTCTCTGAATATTAACTTTTGTTATTTTTATTTCCCTTGAATTGTGTCCATGCAGTGGGAAATGGCATTCTGTGCCACCCAGTCTACTACTTGGATAGTCTAGTAACATTGACATCAGTAATGAATCTTTTCTTTAAAATATTCTCTGCTCCATGATAGTTAATGTGTATGTGTGACACAAAATTTCCTGTCTTTTTGTTGGAAGTATAATTCTCAACTAAAATAAAATAAGGTTGGTGGATACTTTCTAGAGAAGTCATCAACATCCCTGCTTGGCCATTTTTGGCTATCTTCCGTCATCTCTTCCAAAGGGAAAATGTTTTATGCTTTCCACTTTCTTTATTGTTATCTCACCAGAGTGAGTTTATTCTTGTAATTGTTCACTACTATATTTTTTAAGCTGTCTACCATTTGGGATTCCAAGCATGGACTCCAAAACTTTTGTTCTTACCTTTTTTATTTCTTCTTTGCAGGTAAAATTAGTATTTTCAAAAGAACCTTCAAAGCCATTGGCTCCTCGAATTCTTCCAAACCCACTCGCAGCAGCAGCTGCAGCTGCTGCCGTAGCTGTGAATTCTCCCTTCAGTCTTCGAACTGCTCCTGCAGCCACCCTGTTCCAGACCTCTGCACTTCCTCCAGCACTGCTGCGGCCAGCTCCTGGACCCATTCGGACCACCCACACTCCTGTGCTGTTTGCTCCTTACTGAATTCCAAACTGGAGTCATTGTACTGCAATAATTTTTCAAAAAACAACAACAAAAATGAAACAAACAAAAGAGAACTATGCAGTGTTTATTTATAGTTTAAAGTATATCTGAAGAGCCAGGACTTTTGATAGTGAATTGAAAAGATTACAAAAAAATAGGGGGGAGGGAAGATTTGGAGGGTGGGTGGGAGGGAGTGGTATTTTCTCCAAATTAAAGTATTCCTCTTGAATATTGATTGTTTTAGAAGTGATCTCCAACATTGACTTGTACTGGTACCTAGAACTTTCAAAGCCTTTGTGACTGTGCTTTTGGGCACCTGTTCCCCCTGCATTGTCTTTCCTGCTTTATGAAACAACTATACATTGTCTAAGGGCATTAACTGGTTCCAATGTATATATAGTAATTTACTCTGTAGATTAAAGTAACATGAAAAAAGAAAAAACTACAAAACAAAAACAAAAGCAACACTGTGAATAGTAGTACCCGTGCTGGTCCTCTGGCTATGACAGCAGTTACTGGGTATTTATCCCAACAAAAGTAGATACAGTAGATGTCTTGTAAAACAATAGTGCTGTGTCTCAATCTATGCCATTAGGTTTGTCAAGAGTTGCAAAAGGTAGAATGAACAACTATTTCATACCAGTAAGCAGTAGAAAATAAACACCAGATGGTATCATGGAGGCCTCCCAAATCAGCATTCTCCTCTCCCATCCAGCTTGTTAGAACAGGGCTTTGCATAGAGGTGGGGAGGCATTAATAAAGGTAATTTCTTACCACATATGAGTTTCTCACCCTGAACAAGGATTGCTGGAAACAGGGAAGTGTTTGTAATGAGCCTGTATCCGAAAACAGTAAATCCATGTATCATGGGTGTGTAGGAAGAAATCAGTACAACTACTCTATTTCAAAGACAAGGAAGAGTCATAACTTCAGATGATAACACAAAGTAAAAATCTTTCATGTTAGTACAGATCTGGTAGAAACAGAGGTTACTATGACTCTGCAGTATCTCCTTTATATCATACCAGTAGGATTGTCTCAAAAGTTTCTGCTTTAAATATGATTGTAGAGATAAACATTATCTATTATTGTAGGCTTATTATTTTTTTACATTTCCTACTGTTTCCTACTGACATGATATAAACAACTAATATATATTTAAGTGTTAAAAACAATAAGGAAAATGAATCTGAATTCATTGCCTAACAGTGATAATGGCGATTAAAAACAGTACTGTTAAGGTCCACTAGGATATCATTTCTCCAGTGGAGTTGTGAAATACTGACTGCCTTTGAGATTCACTACAAAGCTGAAAGGAGTTGATGTTTTACCTTTAAAACAATAATTATCAGGGGTATATATAAATATATGTATATTGTATATATGTTAGAAAGATTAAGAGAATAACTTATAAAAGAAAATCTATATAAAATAATTCTATAACCATTCAGTGTTACATGTTATCATTAAATTGGTAACAATGGCGTAAAATAGCTGTGCCTTTAATTTGTGATAAAGGCTATTTGCTTTTTCCCATAGAAAGCTAACATCTACCTATCAATATGGTGGGGTTTGATGCAGCCTATCTGTTGCGTTAAGAACAATGATACTTAAAGCAAGGACAAAATATGTACAAATCAGTTATAAGTGATTTAGGTTTAAAGAAAAAGTATTTTTGAAAAGATTTTGTAAAGTCTATTTAAAAATATAGGGAAAAGGCTGGGCATCACCTTCCTCAACTTCTCTACCTAAACTGTAGTAATCTTTAGAGAGGTATAGCATGAAGATGAACCATTGAAGAGATAGGTATTAGCATTTGTCATTTTATATTTAAAAAACATCCATAGCGTGCTTGGTGCTCAACATTAAACATGGTCTTTGGAGTACTTCTCCACCATATAGCTACAGAAATTTGTCATATAAATGTATCTTTAAAGCAGTTGGTTTATATATATTTGTTGAACAACCAAAACAAAAAAGAGAAAAAAGAAGCAAGAAAAAAATGAAAAGGTAGGAAGGAAAGGAAGAGGAGAAAAGGAAGGAAAAAAGAAAAGAGAGGGTATAAGAAAATATATTCATTCTGTCAGTATTCCAGTCAAAAGAATTTCAAGCCATGCCTCTGGTTAAACACATTGGTTAGCATTAAAATTTGTTTTCAAAAGTACCTGGTGATTTTGCATTTATCAATATCTCTACTTTCTGGTTTTAGGAAATGTTTCCTTTTTTCTACAGGCCCTGCTAACTTACCAGATGGACAATTAATTACTCATGAGTTTGTGACTTTGGGCTCTGTGTCTATCCCATGTGGCCAGCTTCTAACTTAGACTTTAATTTCCTTTTCCTACTCTGTCAAATATTTTTGTCTTTCACTATAGCCATCCAGAATCCCTATCCAACCCGTTCCCATCTGATAAGGCCTCTCTATTGGAGAATCAGTGTGAATTGATGCTGTCTTATTAAAATGTGCTTTTTGGTGTTCTTCCCCCATTTTCATCATCTGGTGGATTAAGCCAGTCCTCCAGAAGTCAGGGCCTGTGGGAGACACAGAGTCCCAGGTCACAAGGTGTTACTAACTCTCATGATTTGCTGGGAACAAACAAATCAGCCATATTTTCTCCATCAGCCATATGAGAAAACTCAAGAAATACCTGGATCCCTTCTGCCTCACTTTGCTATGGAACCATTTTTGTTTAAATGGTCTCTTATGTTGGAGTTGTAAGCATCAGTTGTCTTTTATTCACTACCTAATAAAGGATGAAGCCTAACCATAGAGTTTACAGTGGATTCTTTGTGAATTGTTCCTCCTCTACACTCCACACATTTATCAACACCAGATCAACATCTGTTATAGTTCAGATTGCTATGAATCAATATCCTTTCCCTTAGGGAACTTTTTTGTCAGGAATAAAGATTGACAATTCAGATTGGTCAGCAGTGATGCTGTGAAAATTCCCAAAGGTGATCTGACTTATGGTTATACACCCCTTCCCATGCATCACACCCATGGCAGGGAAGGTGATAAGGCAGCATTTTTTATTTCATTTCAAACAAATATAAATGCATTGCAAGAGCCAAATGCCCCTGGATCTGCACCCCATGAAGATCAACAAATGAGAAATTTGTTGTTGGGAAGATTCTGCATTTGTCTTCAGAGAAAATAGATGATTACATACGACAGATTATACCTCTCATTCTGAACTTGGACGAGTTATTATTTTAGCCCCATAATCAAACATAGTTGGTTTGTGGATAGTTATGTTGCCACTGCCTCATCTGAAATAATTGCTACATTTATGTCCTCTTAGGGTCCCCTTAACTATCACAATAATTCGCTGCCATTAGCCATTTATTTATTTTTTCTATTTTTTTCATGGTATTAGGGTTTGAACTCTAGGCCTCATGCTTGCTAGGCAGGCTCTACCATATTCACTGCCACTACCACCAAAGATACAAATTTGTTGCCAAGGAAATGCTTAAGAAAGACTGCATTTATACTTATTTGGAAATTAAGAGGACAGTAAGTGATAAAGGAGTAAGAAAAGATGTTGACATTTTAAATATAAGATCAAAGCATATTGTAAATTTCTTCCTATGAGATTGTAAAAGAACAATATATGGTACACATGTATTAAATTTCACATAACAAATTTTCAATCACTATTTTTGAATCTTGGCCCATGTAATCCTTTAACTTTTCCAAAGAAGTCAGATCACAAATCTAAAAATGATCCAAAGGCCTCTTCTTTGTATCTGAATTGATGCATGGAGGTACCTTTCTGTACATAGCATAGTATTACTATTTGAACACAAAAACTAGAATGAAGTGATGGGAAAACAATGAGCCTGAAAGAATCTGTCTATTGGAGACTATTTCTGACAAGCACAGTAAGTTCAAATAGTTGACTAAATACCTTATCTTTATTTTCTGCATCAGTAAAATGTGGGAGGGTGATGAAAGGCCATGCTGGTTTAATATTTCCTCATAAAAGACCACTTCTTTTAATAAAACCCATTTTCTGTACTGAATAAAACAGCTATTAAAAAACTTGCATCTGTCAAAAAATATGTACATAACATAGTAAGTCATCTATCAATCAATATAGATTTTATAATTACTATCGGAGGAGCTGCCAATTCATGTACTATTTAATTGTTACTGGATTGATGCCAGTCATGCAAGGTTTTCCCAGACTGGATAAATAAATGTGTAACAAAACCAATAGGAAGCTAGCAGTGTGAGCGTGGAAAAGAGCAATGAACATGCTGTACTATTCCTTCTCTGGTACTTTCTCTGTTCAGAAGAAAGAGTTTCCATCTCAGCCATAAATAATTCTATTCTGAATAGAATGTGTTTTAGCTGATGAACAATGTATTAAGATCATTTCTTTTTATTTAAAAATATCAGCGTATACTCATTAAAATGTAAGAATTATTTCAACTAAGTCCTGACAGTGAATGTTTTACCTAGTAATTGCTGTTTATTTTTGTTAAACAATGAGATTTATTTCTGGAGCATCCCTTCTGGTCTTTGTACACAGGTATCCTTCCATAACTAGAAAAGCTTCTATCAGGGGGTGAAATGGATAGTTTATATGATAGGTCTCCATTGCCCACTTACTATGTCTGAGAACTATCAAGGTCTACAATGAAAGATGGATATGTTGATACATCATTCTCATGTGGCCTACAAGGTTGCTGCTTCCAGGAATGGACTTATACCTTATCAGAATGATAATGGTGATGGTAAATTGGTTCTACACTGGGAAAACCTTCTATGTGCTACTCAATTAGAAGTCCATGCAGATCATGAAGGGCCTCAGAATGAATAATTACCTGGAGGAGTCAATATTCAGGTTTGAAAGGACTGAAAAGTACCTCAATTTATTGGTCTCCCCTGCCTTCCTGGTGATGGAAACTCATCCTTCCTTGATGGCTGAGTTGACTTAACAAGCTGCCAAACATATTTGTAGTCAAGTAGGATCATTACTATGTATGATCAAATTGAGTTCCATAGTGTTTGAATAAGTTTACTAACATCATATAGAA